AACTTAATTTACATCGAACGATAAACACCAATCCCGTGATAATGTCATTCCCAACTTCTCATCCGTGGTGTTTACATTTGACCGGTCTACTAGAGATACCAACGAGCACGTTCAAAACGGGTGTGTGTACTTCACAGCTAATGGAATCAGTTATGGTATCTAGGAACGGATTATATGTTGTATTTAAACCTAGACTGGGCTGGGCAGAAACTGCCAGATCTCGGTGGCAGCTGTTTAAGAGTGGCGGAACGAAATTCACAGTTCAGTTCAGTTCAGTTTGCACAACCATTAACCATGCAGTATCGTGCGCCGGTTTTGGTTGCTATCTTTCGGCTACTCATTTGTATGAACATTGAACACGAAAATTGGCACATCAATGTGGGTATTTATAATCTAGCCTGAAGCACATCACGCGTATGCCACGAGGAAACAACAAACGATATTCCCCGAATTAGATCCAACAAATGATGCAGTCAGTTGCGTGTTGAGCTACCGGGAACAAATTACCCCGTAAGATAAATCTATGGTTTTATGGGAGTCTGCTGTTAATTAGGTTAAAAGGGATACAAATGGTGAGTTTGAAACAGGTTAGGTCAATTTGTATACTAAGTACAAATGCATGTTCTGGGTAGTTCGCTGATCGCCGAGATTCAGGGACTGACACAAGCAGCTAAGCTGCCACAGGATGAACCGACCACGACCAACCCTAACGGTCTGGTTTCTTCAAGTGATAATCCAAACGACGCCTCGAAAATACCGTTCGCATTTCACTTGATTATAAAGCCGCTTTGCTGTTTGTCGGTTGCGCTTGGTGAAGAGTGTCAATCGTAAGAACAGTCACTGACAAGACAACTAGGAGTGAATAAGAGCATGTCGTGGGTACCTTGAAAATAGCTGATTCGGTAAGGTAATGACACACAGTAGATCTCTCTCGGTTGATTCGGACTTGATACAGCGACTTTGGATTCTGTTTCTTACGAATGGTCGAAAATAAATTCATGTATTGCTAACCGAGGAAGCAGGATATGAATTGAGTGTTACCATTAATACAAGAGCTTAATTTTTTGTGCTAGATTATTTTAGCATACCATCCAAAGAATAAGCGCACTTCCTGAAAACAAACCTTGTTCCGAGACAACCAATCAGATTGAAGATTTGTCAGAATCCACAGACAATCAAGACAGTTGACAGGGATCCAGTCAACTCATCATCCTATGTATGTCAAGAATTCCTTCCCTTCCTTTCTTAGAAATAGGCATGACATTAGTGCTACTAATGAATGCTTATACACTTCTAACTGTGTTCTGTTTCACGATCTGTGAAATCGCTGTGACTGAAAGATAAAGTTGGTGAACGATTATTTGGGAACCCGTGCATCGAAACAATCCGTGTGGTTACATCACTATTCGTTATAAATACGGGATCGGTACATGTGCAACTTGTGACAAGCTTGAAATCAGTCACGTACCTTCACTGTATCCAACTCTTGAAGGATCATTGTGTCCGTCAGATTGTCAAACAGACCGTCCGTGCCAACGACCAACAAGTCACCCGGTTCAACGTTGATGGAACTTTGAGCGGCTTGTGTGGGTCTGTAAGAGGAGGGTTGGATGCGATAGAACACAAACATGTAAAGGGATCTTTCAAAGACTTGCTCAGAACGATTTTTTAGTAAACACACAGTATTGTGTGATGAACGGCAAAAGGAATAAGCCCAATAAAAAAATAACCACAGTCCATTCAGGATAACTAGTAAAATAAGACCTGAGACTTCGGGTGGTGAAGCACATGTTACACCAGGTTAATCGTGGTACTGAGCCGGACGATAGGAAAAGCTGCGTATGACCAAAGTTGGGGGACAGTGGCAGGATTCGAGCGGTGCACCATAAGGCTCCAAGCATCCCCGTGATAACAATCGCTTGACAACCAGCACATATTTTAAAAGAACCACCGGCAAAATAATGTAACCCATGGGTGTTGAGAATAATGTGGACCGAAACGGTGCTTGGTAGAACACCGAAATTTCTTTATTTGAGGTAGTGAGAATACTCCACATGCATCTAAAATCACATCAAGTGGTGAAATGTCTTTCAGTAGCTGTATAGAGACATACAAACAGTGAACGGTTAAAGAAATCGATAATCGAAAATTCGGGTTTCGTCTGACTCCAAACTTGGCGCATTTTGAGCATACCCTCGATGATCAACGCCGGGACATAAACCTGTGTAATTTCAAAGCTCAATGAAGCCTCCGAATCGACGACAAGTGATTCAGATAGTTGGTTCGTTCCAATATTCCTGATTACTTTCTAAGGAGCAAGAAAGATAATGAATGCACTGAAAAGCAGGGTAATGATTAAATCAATGCCACTAACCTATTTAATTTTATTCATACTCAGACGACAGGAAACATTCCACGTCAACCAAAAATCACTTGACGTGTTTCGAAGTACCGATGGCCTGAAACCCGATCGAGTTAAGTAACACATGTCCTATCATTCTGTTCGCCAAAAGTTGTCATTATTAATTTGTGATAAGCTGTAAACGTACACAGCAGGACTACAATGACGTTTATACTTGTCAAAAGAATGGGGATTCTTCCCGATTAGCTTTGTTACATGATAATCATGATTAAACTACAAAGTAACTTCGTAATCGAAGGCTCAGATCAATGTGGTGGCTGTACTTGTAAATGTTCTATATGGCGGATCGAATAAGCGTTACATCACACGCGTTGGAGACATGCGACACCGAGCACAATTCCCTGGAATTCACCGTATACTTTTTACGTCAGATTCTTGACGAATCTTGAGAATATAGTGCAGTGACATCTCGCCACCACTTGAATCTTATCTCAAGAGCTGTGCCCCTAGCCCTTGCACTACCAAGTGCTACCGGCGAGGTGAAAGCGTGGTGGCGATTGCTTTAATTCGTGGCAGGAAATATTAGAGCATGGCAAAATGGTTTCTGAGGCATACTATCGCTTTATGTGATAGAGAGATCGCTTGCCAGCCAAAACGCCGCCATGTCCTCAAACATCGTTGATTGTCTGTTACCGCTTATTCAATGAAGTGATGTTCATCTATTCACGGTCCTCAGCCTATCCACAACCTAGAGGAGTGTTAAGAAGCGTAAAGCTCTTTTTTGATTACACACTTTAGTGTCATGAATAACAGACGAGGTACACCCCATAGTCACGAGGACCCGCTGATTCGTAATGGAAACCAGTAATTTAAGCCCCAGAACTTGGAGTAGCGAACCACATAATGTCCCTGTAGGTTAGGTGTGGTATTGAACGGGACGACAGCAAAGCTACCTACCACCAAAGTTGGGTGGCGGGGCTGGAACATCGAACCATAGGGTCCAAAGCACCCCAGCGACAGCGAATAAACCACCGCGCCACAAATGGTCGTAGACTTGAGTAAGCCGACCACCTCCAGGAACTTGGAGGTGTACTGTGCGAAATGTTTTACAAGCATTCCCATTTTTCTCGTGAACACATGTACGTAGAATTACGAAACTGTTTCCGCATACAATACCTCGTCATTATACTGGAGTCGTACACAGATTTAAGCTTTCGCTTGACAAAAGATTCTCTTATCCCGGAAAATGTGCTTGAAGATTGCAAAGTGTATTTAGCGTACTAATGCAGGCCCGAGTTCGATTCTCAGTTGGACCAATGAACTTCAAGCGCAGATCAGGTCTCACCAGGTGGAAACAGCCATGCAATGTTTCCTAGCTGTTGATTTGCTCTGTACACGACGAAATTCATCATATAAAAATTTCCTGCCCTGAGTTGTTTGAGAAAGCAGCCCAGAAAGTTCATTGAATCAACTTGTGTATTTGATACCACTAACGAAACGAGGATTAACATTCTCACTGAATGATGGAAATTTAAAAGAGGCAATCTCCCACTGTATGTCTGAGTGTCATGTTACAGTTCTGAATCAAAAAGGTTGTCACCTTTTGACACGCGATGGTTTCTTTATTCGAAACAACTTTAATAGTAATGAGCTCGAATGAATGTGAACTTTTCATCAACGCAAACAGCATAACACAAGGTCGTAGGCTAAAATTCCGAAATAATCCCATTGTAACATCAGAACACAAGTCCGAAGGCGAACAACTGTTTTCGAATGATTCATAATCGTGCCTGTACAGATCATATAAGGGTTTGTTGTTAGTGGGGACACATTTTCACGCTAAGTCAAAGGGTCATTTGGAATGAGGAGAGGAGAGGGGAGAGGTAAGCTCTATGTGTGTGTGTTCGGGTGAGACTGATTGTGATGGGAGTGGTGGTGGTGATGTTGATGATCAATTTGGGGCCAGGGTAAGTGGAGAGCTTGAACCAGTCGCTTTTGTGCACATAGTTCTGGTGCGAATAGGCGAATGCCTATCGCCTCGTAGGCTAACACAGATAAAACAGGGAGAAACATATATCAACAAGATTAAGTATAAAAAGATTGCCAACAGATTTCACTGAGTAAGGGAAGTTACTTGGAGAGCTTTTTAAGGATGTGGGTTGCAATAAATCGGAGAGGAAACGCGGAATACGAAGATAACGTTCCTGAAAGGTACAGGGGTAACTTCTGATTGCTGCATCCAACCAAGTAACGAGTGTTTCAAAGCTGCATGGGTTCACGTAATTGTGTGGAAGTATTCGCCACATGCGTCAGGTAGTATAAGTGGCAATGCATCTACGACATGCAACCATAAGTAGTACTCTGGATGACAGTTCAGTTTCCCGTTTCAATTTGTACAGCGATCAATCATGTAGTTTCGTACTGCGGTTTTAGTTACCATTATGGATGATGTAGAGCGAAAATTGCAATGGTGAAAACCGTCAAGGAGAATACGGAGAGATTAAGGTTGCTAGGAAGTTGAGCAGATTCCCAAGCGACACTGGATGCAATGATCTAGAGTTGCCCATCCCCGAGATGTAACGAGACTCATACGACCTGAACAGTGTTTCATACTCTCGTTTGACCACCGTTTACTTTTTTCAGCCCGTTTACTTCTTCGGTGAGCATCGCCCACCGTGGCAACCTGTTTGCTGAAATATGTAACACACATCAACCAACACAATCCATGGAGGTTGAGCACATTCTCCAGCGAGAGGTCGTGATCACATGAAACTGTGCACCTAACTTTAGCGTTGCTTGTTCGGTTGCTCTATCAGACTTTTTTTATTACACATCTAAGTGTGATGAACCGCAGACGAGGCGAGCCCCATAGTCACGAGGACTTGCTGTTCAGTGGTGGAAACCGGCAGCCTAAGCCCGAAACTTGGATTAGCGAACCATGTAAGGCCCCGATAGGTTATGCGTGGTATTGAACCGAACGACAACGGAGCTGCTTACCACCAAAGTCGGGTGGCAGTGGCAGACTCATGCGATGCGAAGTAAACAGCGGTGTCGGATACCAACGGTCTGTTTTTACCTTGTTCCTGTATAAACCAAAGCGCTCCACTGTAAAACAACACTAGCAGGATGTCGCCACAATCAGGTGGTCGTTTCAAGTTGGAAAAGGCCAGCCAGCCTAGGCGCGAGCCGACACTTCATCTCTGATGGCAAGGCAACGCCAAGGTAATAACTCCTATTGCTTGCACGAGCTAGGCTTCCATTTTCGAATCGTAACTTCCTCAGAAAAGTGCATTAAACGTGAATGGATGTTGAATAAGACCACCGAGAACGTAGTAGTTCGGTGGAATCGATGCTTTGTCTCAAACCAATGACGTGCGATGGAAGCGGCTGGTCGCTGTCGGTAACCTTCGGCATATTTTCTACTGGTTGACAAAAGTGTTCACCCATAGTGCGACATGTTCATTTATTCACGACCTTGGCGTTGCCTTGATAAAAACCATGATTAATGTAAACTTATTACAGGTAATTTCATCAATTTGTAGTGATCATTTATATTACATGATCTGTAGGATGCACCAACTGACATACGGTGAACTATACCCGAATACAAATTGTGCACCTTTACATTACTATATTCCCGATTCAAATTTCTCTAGACACTGAAAACACTGTGCACCCTCCAGGCACATTACCTGGGAGAAAATCGATTATACGAATCAAAATTTCAATCTGTATATGCGAGCCCAATACAGTGCGTGATGCAAGAATGAATAAGAACACCAAATTCCGTGATCTTCTGAGTACCTAGGAAGTGTGACAGGCGAGTAGTGCACTCTAATGTCCTGGAAAATGTATCGAAACACGAGAGATAGTTGATAAATTTGTCTCTGTTACCCAAACGAGATGTCGATCACCGATCACGGATAACTTATGGAGACTAGCTAGCCATATGATCGAATAGATTCAACTTAAGTGGCTGCACTGTTCCCCTGTACTTTTTCCGGGCTCGAAATATAATTATTTCATATTATTCCCAGATTCATAAAACTTTCCCGATATAGTGGCATAGCCAGATAGATTATAGGTGATTTTATTGTGCAAGCATATCGACGTTTGTAAAAAAAGTAGTCGATAGAATCTTGAAGTTCATTGCTTGCAGAAAGAACTCATTAAATCCATGTCAAATCTCCGTACCTGTTCTCGCACCCACCGCCACATACTGAAACAGCATCCTCCATACCGATGGATGGCATTGTTTCTTTCAACTGTTGTGTAAATACCATTCACGAGAAACACATTGCTCTAATAGCGATAATAATAATTCGTAATTCTTTTAATGCTACTTCGGCCAACGACTACACGTCTACCGGGACTGAGGACGAATTTGATCATACCTTTGGGCCTTATGACTCCAACTTTGCCCAGCACACCGTTTGTCATTCAAAGTCCTCCGAAAAGCCACATCGTATCTGGGCAGGTCGTTGAAATCTTGGTGAGAGGAGTATTTGCAGCACCAAGCGGTAACCATATGCTGCAAATATGTGTTCCACCACCTCAGAATATTATTATTCAAAATTATGCGACGGGTCCAATCAACAGTGTGCCTCCTAAACAGTTTTTCTTTCCTTATCCAGTTTTACCTCCTTTAATTGAATATACGATGATACAAATTCCAGGAAGGAGGAAGAGGCCAAACAAAATGCTGCCACACAACACACATAACGGGAAACGTCATACGGTGGTGGTGGGATTCGAACAAACACCCCAAGGACGGTCATTTACCACCACCACCCCCCATTCAGGTTTCCAATTATGGTTAGCATGCATTTTTATACACCCAAGGTGTAGTAAACAGAGAAATGGGTTGAATCTCACAGCCCCAAGGATCTGCAACTCCCTTATGATAACCGGGACCATAGGTTCTGGGACTTGAAATAACAAACCGCATGGGATAGGTGCGATATAGAACGCATAGACAATGGGAAGTGAGGAACGGATTAACCGAAGAGCAAGCTTTGACCAATTGGGGAAGATAATTGTTCTAATTAAAGAGGAACTGAGGAACCAAAGAAATCACGCACCAACACTCAGGCTGTAGAAACAAAACCTTTTGTCAAGTATGGAAAACTATGGTTTATCTGTTACCTTGATTGCCATAAGTTTTCGAATACTGCCGAGAGGTTGAACTGCATAGTTTTCGTTACTCATCAAAAGAAAAACTAAAAAATAATTTGATGTCCTAATTATTGCAGATGTGATCAAATATTAAAAAACACTTATCCAATGTTGGCTCACTTGACATTTTATGTCGCGGGCGCATCCATCTGTGAGTTAACTCTCCTAAACGATATTTTAATAAAGTTCACTATATGATACCATTGTTGAAGTACTATTGCTGTGAGGTACTGCTCACATTTGTGAGTAGTATGCAAAATAGTGCGGTTGACGGTATTTTTCAACGATCGACAATTAACAAGATCACTGAGATCGAATTACTGTCCCTTAAAGAATAACTACAAACTGCTCCAGTCATTAACCAGTGTGCTGCCGGGATTTGCGATGACGTTTCAATCGAGGTATCTGTTACATGTATGCCAAATCATTGATATCCCAACTGTAATATGCAATAAACCACTATCCTCGACCAGGCACACTATGAATGAAAAGTTAGTGTGCAAGAACTGACAAAGATCCAGCGGTACCTGAAATTAGGACAGATGGAACAAGGGTAGCGAAATATTTTCGGATAAAAATATCCTGGAGCTTGGTTATGCCGAAGCATTGACGTAATGATTTGAGTAAACAGCTGTGGCTAGTCAGTAGGTTGACGTCAAAGTATGAAGCACTCGACCGGTCGCGCGTATCGTGCAGATTACAATCATCAGAGTGTGTTGATTTCACGGATTGGTTATTTTTGGTGCAATGTCAGGCAAGAGGAGAAACACTGGTCAAGTTCGGAAGTCAAATAAAGGTACACATGCCTTAACCGTTGGTGTTGGGCGAATAAGGACGACTAGGCGGAGAAACTATTCGGTGTACGTGTGTGTGTGATGAGAGATCCAGGGCGATGAGGTATATTTCTGTGAACAATGACAGTCTTTGTCATCGACACAGCTCATCACATCTTTTCTCCGTCACTTTACTGTTCGTTTGTGTGTATAAAAAATAATAGTAAAACAACCCACTGCTAAATTAAAACACCGTGGAGAGTGAAACACACTAAAACGCATCGCTGAAGTCATGAGCATAGGTGTTTGTACACATCGAGCAGAGTTATTGGTCTATGTGCAATAGAACCTACGGACGTAAAATTCTTATATTCTATCTCTTCCCGTGATTCGTTCATTATATGAGCTATGGAGAGGTATGTGCCAAAAGCTAAACAATGCGATCCAAACAAAGGTTGGCGGGGTTGTACACATACTGAGCAAACTTATGGTAATGATGAGTGCACAGCTTGCATCGAAGAGTACCATCGGCGTAGGATAGATTGAAATACGCCAGAAACACTACCAATTTTTTACATACACACACACATAAAAGAATGACGTTTGCACCCGATGAGCTAATATGCCACGATGCCAACTTCACAGAGTTATTTTCCTTAGATGGCAAATCATGTGGTATGCAGTACAAAGAGAGACCTTCAAGACCGATTGATCAGCGAAGCACATGACATACATGAATATGGCGTACTATTAGCAACAGAATAAGTGTCAGTTACGGTGATGGTGTAGATATACAAAAACACATTCCGGCTAAGAATAGTGCTAAACAAACAGCAAGGGGTAGGCACGCGTAAACAAACAAACAATAATAATAATAACAACAACGCGTCATAACTCACAAGTCACGATAAAACTGGCGTGTTTGAACAGGAGGCGGTGAAGCCAGTTGAAAAGGTGTATTGAAGGTATGCTTTTGATGCGTCGAACGTTGAACGATACGACCGTGTCGTACAACCAAATATCCACTATCACCCAGACTGGCAGCATACAGTCGGTGATCACATCGGTGCAATGCGATCACACAAAGTGTTGCGCTACCTGAAAACACGTGGAAAGATCCCCATTGAAGTTTGGGAGAAAACATCGAAATTGACACGTTTTTTATTCTCAGAGGACAGCTGACACTCGACACAATGAACGGCTGTGTCCGGGAACATGATACCTAACAACTGAATCAGCAAATACTTCGTTAAACTTAAATGTCATAGAAGGAAAAGGTATTTGATTATCTAGTATAGGAAGACTGTTTCAAGTGGAACAAGCAAATTATGCAAGATAAGTTGAGTTTTCTAAGGATTAAAAACTACCTGCAAAAACCGACTGCACGGAAATTATTTCAAACAAAATATAATGGATTTCGTCTTGTGCTTCGATTGTCAAGCAAAACATTTGCATGTTTTCTTCAATTTATCCTCAAACCAATACAGACCTTATAAGGAAGTAACATGCTAAAACAGGTAACCTTTCAGTTGGCCAAAGGTCAGCGATTGTTTTTTATTACACATCTAAGTGTGATGAACCGCAGACGAGGCGAGCCCCAAAGTCACGAAGACTTGCTGTGGTGGAAACCGGCAATCTAAGCCCCGGGACTTGGAGTAGAGAACCAAATAAGGCCCCGATAGGTCAGGCGTGGTAGTAAGCCGGACGACAGCAGAGCTGCCCACCACCAAAAAGAGGGGATGGGACGAGTGGTGTGAACTGTTTCATACCATTGAATCACCCCTACACAAAATCAGATTGTAATGGATGATACGTACGGTCGATCTTTGATCATGGCAGTTGGATGGCATGGGTCAATCTCTTTTGGATACAATGGTTGGGTGTGAATAGATGAATGCCGATCGCCTCCTCATTGGCTATGGTATCGAGATAGAACGATTTGGATGGGTGACGTGGTACTTAATAGGTAACTTTGGACGGCGATTCAAGCTTCGTTTGGTGACCTGAATCTGCTAGATGAGAAAAATAAGGCCAGCTGTGACACCGCCGTGTCAAAGAGAGCGTGGACAACCGTTTTTAATTAGCTGGGACAGTTGCCTCACCGTTCAGCCAATGTGGGTTGCGTTACAAACGCAGTTAAAGAAACTGGCGACCTGACTTGAACAGACAATACTCAGATGAGGTCAGCGAAGGTAAAGCGTCTTAATTGGATGTTCTCATTATTGGTGAACCTGTAAATACGCACGACAATCTAGCTGCATTAAAGGCCTCTTTTAATGCCCGTGCCAAAGGGTTTCAAATGAGATCAGACAGCTGTGTTTATTAAACAGATTTTGCCTTAGTGTCTTTGAGGTCCCTTTCGACGAACCGGTATCCGTTATCCAAGAGAATGTTTTTGATATGGCCACGTTAATCTGTGAACGTGCATTCGGAGTATATCTCCCGTGCACGCGAGATAAAGCACCGAATAAGGTTTCACTTTTGTCTAGGCAGCATGAAACTGTGAAAGCTGGTATATGGGCCGGTTCTGTAAACCCTTCTTTCAGGGAGTTTATTAATTGTCCCATGGATTATGACGTCAGGAAACACCAGTTTATAATCTTCCTTTATTTCTAGGGTGAAACTAATGAACCATTGATACTGGTTGAACTTTCGTTCTCTTGGCCGTTTATGCAACATATTGTTGACATATCGCTTATAGAATTTCGTCCTTCTGACTTCCGATTGCAGAATGGAGTACTCCAGTTCGGGCTCAGACAATGTCCTTATACTTAGTAATGCCACATGACTTTGGAATAAAAAGGTTTATCGAGAACGATTAGCGAAGATATGAATTAGAGGAAACTACATTTTTTCAAAAATACCAGACAGATGAGTAAAATATGGTACTGGCACACATAAAAATGGAATGAGAAACACGGTAGAGGAATTCAATTTCACCGGGAATCCAGTATTAATTTGAAAATAAAACGGGGAAGTCACTATTTTTAGGTCTTCGGCCTCGAAACTACCGGCGGAATAAAATAGAGCTTTTTAGAACCGCGACATACAGTAACTGTATTTGTAGTAGTTTACCATCTTCATCATCATACAGCAGGATATGATGGAGTGAACTTCACCATATACTGAAAACCTCAGAAAGGGGTGTAAAGTAAGGTGCAATGTGGACAAGGAAAAACAAAATGAACCTCTACGGTCAATACAACGTGTGCACGACTTAACTGTGTATACACACCTTGTGAAATAACCTGGTCTGATAAGTCACAACAAGAAAGACACTACTGTTAGTTTACTACCATACCTTTCAGCCTTTAGGACCGCAATCTGGAAGACGGGTGACACCTAGTTTATCCANTTATCCAACTGCTCTTTGCCTTTCGTCACACCTCGTCCTCAAGCTGTCCGCTGGCCACCAAGTGATTGCCTTCATCCTGGAGCATACAAATGAAAGCAAGGCACGAGGCGATAGACGACTGTTAGGTTAGCGAAGGCCACCAATTTGAATCCAATGTGATGACAAATTATCCATCCCATCCAGTGTACGTACATCCCGAAATGTTCCTGTACGACTAAGCGTCTCAAATAGCCTCTGCTGAGAGAGCCCTATTTACTGCCTTCACGTGGCGGTTTCCCCACCAAAGTGAGAGGAGAAGAACATTCGGGGCTATAACCGAGTAGATGAGAAACTGGCACTTCAATAAGGAGAGCTGTTTAAAAAGGTCGATTCCAAGCCAACCAGAAAGAAGAGCTTGAAACATACACCCACCTCCCTGCTTGAAGCAGTGGCCACTGACTTGATTCATTTTCATTTACCACTTTTACTCTATTTCATTGAATATATAATGAGATAATTTTCAGGAAGATGGAAGCCGTATGACAGAACGGTTTGAGTCAGGCGTTAGTGGTGGGATTCTAACACATTCTCCGGAGCAATCATTTTGGGACCTTTACCACTCGGCCAAATCGGATGTTTGACTCCATTTAAAGGGTGTATGACTTGATGAACTGTACACAGGCACGCAGCGGATTGCAGGTTTCAAACAAGTCCTCACAACCCTGCGAGCTAATCTACAGCTAGCACAAGGCATGAGCCACACGACGGTATTTTGAGCGCGAGAAAATCGTCGGTCGTTTTTTTTTTGTTAAAAAGATTGTGTTTATTCGGGTTAGTTCATTTTAATGGATACGGCGAACAACCATGCACAGAGACCTTGAATCCCTTAAGCAAAGCACTCTCCTACTGTAGGCGACGAAATAGTACAAATCAAAGCAAACTCCACAAGAATCATTAGGAAAAGTGAATACCGGATATGCGCGGATCGAAAATTAATTTTGTAGGAACCAATTAATAAAAGAGATCCACAGACAACGTACCCATAATAGGATCTTTGGACGTGAGAACATCTTCGTAACTTTGGGCAATCAGTAGTTCAGGTTCGTCCGGTTTGAAACGACCGGTATTCACCAACCTTTCACAATTGCGCACTATAGCCCGAGAAAAGCGTCCAGGATCAACACCGTAGGCCCTCCAACCACCAACACCATCAGCGACACCTGTTACATTAGAAATAAACCAAAATCCTGTGTTAAAAAAATGAATTAGCCATCCACACAAAACAAAGGAACACTGAAAAATGCTTGAGTAGATTAGGTGAGATCAACTGTTACACTGTTACTCTTTGTTCCAATAATCACAACTTCACTATTCAAAAATATCTTGAGAGAAACCACAAGAAGAAGCAAAACCAAACGTCATGAAAAACAGTAACCTACGCCTTGGGAGTTGCAGTGGTGAACCACGTAAGGTCTCACCAGCAGAAGCGAGGAATAGAGCCGGGCGAGAGCGAGAATGCCTACCACCAAATGTTGGCTGATGGTTGTGGTTGGGTTAGAATCTCAGATTCTAAGCCCCAAAGTACACCGGTAAAATCGATTTGAACTGTTTGACGATCACCACCACCCAGAATGGTGGAACACCCTTCTCTATCGTGCTTTTCTTCACACTGATAACCTTTCTGTATTTGCCCGCAAAATCAATACGTCGTGTTTTATACGACGGTTTTCCAATCCCTATGGTACTCTTATTTTGTGACTATTGTTGATCGGTACGTGAGCTGAACAAAAACTTTAGCTTATTAAAGACTATTTTAGTTCAATTTGTCCTGTTGTCGGTGTTGATCATTCGGACAATCATGAACACGATCACCGCATACGTGCAACATACCCAAGGCACCGAAGTAAAGTTAGGAATGTTTCACAAACCCGACAGTTGTTTATCAAAAAGATAATCCGTTTTGACAAAGTTTTAAAAATCGGTTCTCGTAGCTCGGATGAATTGCATTCCACTCTCACCCGTTTGCAGCAGTTTAACGGGGAACCGAGTCGAACACAGTGAGAACAAAGGAGAAGACCACACATAAACGAACGGGTCAAGCACAACACTGCCACTTCACAAGCACTGATGAGGTCATCTCGGCTGGTGATGAAATGCTTGCAAGAAAATTGCCAACCTCGGTGAACAGGCGAAATGGAATACAATCCGTCCTCTTACCGAACGGTAGAACCGCCCGCACGACGTAAAAGACCGCTTCAATTCGGTAAAAGTCATCAATCCCAAGTGAATCTCGTAAAAACGTTGTGTATATATATGCTCACCTTCACCCTCCTGCTATGCTTTCACCATCATCCACTACTGCGCAGATGAAGGCTAAACAACAAATTCCTATATGGAGTCCGTGAGTCTTCATCTGTGTTCTTTTTGAGTTCCTTCAAAGTGTTGATATGCTGACGCGTAAGCTAACCGCAGATGTGAACTTTTGAACATTTTGGTACTTATAGAAGCTTGTCACCAGCAGAATTTCAAATCTTTTCGAATCCTCGTCTGAATTAGATATTAAATCTTTCGCTTGACCTATCGTGCTTTCGAATCGCACCTCCAAATCAATTCGGTTGTCTTCGGGAGCGACAAAACTTCCACTCCAATGATAAGGCTTCCATTGAGATAAAGGATAGCTGCCCATCAGACAAATCATGTACGAATCCCTCTGGTTTATTGGTAAAAGTGGAGAGTTGTGGAACCTTATGCGGATCCCGTAATAAATGATCTCGAATTTCCTGAACGCAACGCATGCAGATTTGACTTACACATTTGATTAGTTGTATATTTTTCTTCTCTGGTAAACCTTCCACGATATGTAGTTGTTGGAAGATGTTTCCGTCAATTAACTAGAGATTTGTGCATAATTTGCTTGATAGGCGGCTATTCTTTATTTAAGTAGAAGCTTTATGTGATGCATGAAACTGACCTCAATAAATTTAATATACACTTTTTAATGCATTGAAGACGCAGTGTATATAATTGGAATAAATTGAGTGCTATTACATTCGGACTTGTTCCATTTTGGAGATCGGTATTGCGCGAAGTCCGGAACTACATTTCGGATTATATTCACAGTACTACATTTCGCGTCGCAGCCGGTCTACTGAACCAAGAATTGGACTTCGCTAGAATCCCTAAAGCTAAATTGCAGTGCACAAGACGTCGAGGATTATTTTGAACGTTTTGAGATTCGGTGGTTGACTCGTTCCAAGCCCAATGAGGAGAAATCTGCGATCTTTCCTAATTTTGCTAGTAAAATCGCCTATACTCTAATCACGAACTGGGCATATTCTTCTTTACCTGTTTCTGTGCTGTAGGAAGATTTAAAATCCCTCCCTCTACAGTATGTGAAGCCGATGGACTTTTAAGCCTCAGAAAGGGCAAAATTTCATTCGATGGTACGCAACCCTAACCGGGGAATCCGTGAATTCCTTCTAGAATTACTTACAAGCTGCAAAGTGTGATTCTGGTGACTTACTGGACATGCAGTTGAAAGATCGGCTGATTCCTGACAGTAACAATACAAAGCGAACTTCTGAAACTGTCAAAGATGTACGGGCGCATTGCGAACAATATCAGGACATCCCGCCGCTACTACAGAACGTAGGTATTGAATGGGCAGCTGGAGAAAAGCTGTGCCATTCAGAGTACGCTGATGACATCGTATGCCTGTTCGAATCTATGGAGGATGGGCAATG